TAGGGAGTTAGAAAGTTTAGGGTTTACGGAGTTTAAAGTTCAGGGTTTAGGGAGTTTAAGGAGTTTCGGGTTCAGGGCTCAGGGAGTTTAGGAAGTTTAGGGTTTAGGGAGTTTAGAGTTCAGGGTTTAGGGAGCTTAGGGGGTTTAGGGTTCAGGGTTTAAGCAGTTTAGAGTGAAGGGTTTAGAGAGTCTAGGGTTGCGTGCGATTTTGGGCCACAGCTGTCGGCCTGAGCCCGATTCCCGAGCCCTGCCCTCTTCACACCTTCAATGTGATCTGAAAATCGTTTACTGGACTAAACCCTAGACCCTAAACCCTAAAGCAGTCGCGAAGGCCCATTCCACCCAGTAACTAGCCCTCTTGCTCCTGATATATTGCTTCCTCCACCGCCGCCAACAGCAGCAACACCACCACCCCTAAACCCTATATACAACCCAGTTTCCTATTTGGGTTTAGGATTTGTCCATTCTTTTCCATTCGATCTTCCATTTTGGGGTTAATATCCCCAAACCCTCTATAACCCCTATACACCAAAACCGGAATCCTCCTCTTTTTGGAACTTCTCAAGTGCTTGGCGAAACATTCTGAATGACCCCTCTAAAGGGATGATATAGAGGTATGGGGCTCTGTCTCCAATACTGTGCAAGTGTTAGGGCAGGGTTACCAAGGGACCATTAGCGTGGACACAGTGGTCCTTTTGGTAGTTTAAGTATTACAGTCCCTGGTATTCGTATTTTCTTATACGGCCTCATGTCCATTCATCATGTGGGAAATATTGGCTGTAGCTCACGTGGCTTGGATGTTGCTCCTATGCGCCTATAGCACATACCCCTTAATCTTTCCCCTGGAAGGCTTGCAATGTATCAGCAATAGTTGTATTCTTGCAGACCTCAGAATATAGAAGCAACAAGGATACTTAGGCTCAAAGGTTGTTTAGTTGAGTTCACTCCTGTTAGTTTCAATGCAGTAATCAAACAGTCAGTATGAGCAGACTGTAGTACTGTAGTGGGCCCAGGAGTTGTAGAAACCCTAAACCCTAAAACCCTAAAACCTAAACCCTAAACCCTAAAACCTAAACCCTAAACCCTAAACCCATAGTGAGCGCAGGAGTTGTAGGGAGGGATGGGTGTTGGGGGTTTCAGCTTTTGGGCTTTGGAGCTTCAGTTGGTAACTTACTGGTGGTCAGGAGGGGATAAGGGAATATAATCCCTGTATCGTATTCCCTTATTCGCCTAAACCCTAAACCCCAAACCCTACTAACCTCCATAAAGATCAGGAGTTTGGAAGGTTTTTGTCCCGGGTTGATTTTGATTCAGAGGCTCGTGCAGGTTCTTGGTGTCCGAGGCTTCATCTCAGGGGTCCAGAAGCCAGGAAAGAAGAAGAAGTAGGTAGGGAATAAGGGACTGTAATCCCCATGTGGTCAAGTTGTTGCCGTTAGGTTGCGGTTGTGGGGCAGGATGGTCGAGAGTACAGGACCCATAAGGCTTAAGATCCCCAAAGCTCACGTGGTGCTGTTTCTGCTGGTGGTTAAAAATTAAATAACTTTCTTCAAAATACTGCAGCGAACAGGAGGACATGACAACTCTATGTGTATATGTATATGTACATGTAGAGTTAGATCTATATGTATATGTATATATGCAGTTGGGGCTGAAGATATGCCTGTTTAAAACGTGCAGAAGTATCTGTGGCTGATTTCGGGCCGCGTGGGGGGGGAGTATCAGGTCATTGCATGAACTTTTTTTGCGCCGGGACTCTTAGTTTTGTTCCTTAGGGCTTAGGGCTTAGGGAACTCCAAGCCGTGTGAACCTGGCAACCGCCATGCACTCCGCAACGCTTATTGGTTCTTATTCGGGAAGAAGGAATATTATCCGCATATAAATTGTTGCCTTATTCCGTACTAACCCTGAAACCTAAACCCTAGAATATATTCCTGTCATCCCTATTAAGAGCGACTACGTGAAGGGTTCTTCGCAAGAGTGTCTGTATAAGTTATAGTCTAAACGCCTAGTATCCCGTCCCCGCACCGTCCTTGCCTCGAGGCTTCGTATACTTATCTAAAGGATTATACACGATCTGGGATGAGGGTCTAGGGTTTAGGGTAATCATATAGGATCTTGGGGGGGTAGGGTTTGGGGTTTTGGGACAGTATCCCATAATAATGGAGAATCAACCGGAAGAGAAAATAGAAAATGAAATGGTAACTGGAGTTGTATAGGGGTTTGTAGGGGGAAACAGGTTCCTTAAAACCCTGGTGTTTCCAGGGTTGTTCAGGGTTCCGCTCTCCTGCCAAGTACGCTCCGACATCGGTGCATCAACTTTGGCCCGGGGTGGTGGGGGGTGGGTTGGTGGGTTGGAGGTAATGACGTTCATTGCAACTTCCCCATACTAGTGGCGGATAAATTCCCAGCTCCGATTGTAGGACCCCATGGTCCCAAGGTGCTGTTGGACGGGCAGACGCATTCAAATGCAGGAACAATACATCATGATTCTGTAGAAATTATTCTTTACGCATGGGTGGATCGTGCTTCTTTGCGGTGCCAGATAAGCAACGGTCTTTTTCTGCAAATATTTTTCCGCCTGTTACAGCTGCTACCTCCTTCACGGTCTTCTGCTGCAGTGCAAACCATTTTGGCGAGCTATATCAACTTTGGGATGCGCACGATGCCGGGTGTGAGCAGTGATGCCGCGCATATGGTAGCGCGGAGGGACCTGTTTGTGTTTGTTGGGAAGTACCAACTTGCCGTTAACCAAGGCTTCACCCATGCAGTGGCCGTGCCTAGCTTAAGATATCCGAATTTTCGGGGATCTTGCTGATCGGTGGCGGCCGAAACCGCATGTTGAATCTGTTTTGGAACTTTTTAACGTCCCTTTCTAATTCTCAAGTTGGCAGCCAAGCCTTCATGTGCAGAAGCAGACCTGTCCGAAACCCAGGGAAACCACGCATGCAGAGCTTCCACGCGCCGGGTTTTTTAGCGGCTTGTGACCTTATAAGGCACCATAGCAGTCTAGACACATTTTACTGCCGCGTTCCAATTGCAGCATGAACTCCCCTCAGAGACACACGTTGAACCCCAAAACCGTCTTCTTGTGTTCCACCCCCAGGCTTGGAATGATATAAATGCCTCACGCTGCTAATTGCGAAGAAGTCACACCGGGTTGAGGCTTCAGGGTTTAGGGACCGCGATATGTGCAACCACGGCGTCGAACGAGCTAGCCAGTAGGCGTCGTAAAGGCGAGGTGCAGGTGAGGTGTACATTGGGATATACTTAGGGGCCTTGAGAAATCTTATGGCTTCATGTCGAGTATGTAGGGATTGTAGTCCATACTGGTGAAAAAATGCTACCAGGAATACTCCAGTACATGTTCGTTGCATCCTCCCAACCAACGATTTCAACCCCACCGTAAAGGCTCTAAGAAAAAACGCAGGAATATGCACCAAACCTCAATACCCTAAACGCTAAACCCTAAACCCTAAACCCTACACAGAGGGCTTCTTTATCGCCCCCAAAGCCCGAGGTAAAGACTCTGGTTTCATTCCCTGCCCAAATTATAGCCAAGTATCCTGTGGTGCTCTAGTAGTACCTGCATATACAAGGCTGGTATGTCATGACAACCCCAGACTGTAAACCCTGCCTTGAACCTAAGCCGTGAAGATCATTGGCAGGTATGCGTTACTAGTACCTGTATAGACAAGACTCGTATGTCATGACAACCCCAGACCCTAAACCCCACCCTCAACCCTAGACCGTGAAGATCGTTGGCAGGTTTGGGTTTGTGGGTGTTTAGGTCTGAGACCCTTGGAGTTGTGGTTTAACCTGGGTAGTCAAAACCTCATATGAGGTAATGTCCTAGAGCCCTTGATAACTATTAGTCAAGTAAAGATAAGGCTAGTGTTCGTACTATGCTTACCTAAAGATAAATGGTAGTTTCGCAGAACAAGGGGACCCCAATATAGACCCCAAAAGACTAAAATCCTTATCCCCCAAAATGGTACCCCCAAATCTTGAGAGGCTGAACTCAGGTTCGGGCTGTTCACCTTTGTGACCGGACGGGGGCGCACTTGGGCTGTTATCATGAATTTAAACGAAGTTAACCTAACCAGGAAGCCGCATTATGTACTATGTACCCGTTTTTGATCCATTTTCGATGATTAGTTCGAGCTGCTTAACAGCTTGCTGTGAAAGGCCACCAAGAAACGGTCACATCTGTACCCTCGCTATGCACGTTCCGTTGAAACTGTATAAAACCTTGTGGAACCTTTCAAGCCCTGAACTCAAAAATCCCACGATAGACATCGGAACAAGTTTTGGTCATGTTCAACATGTTTCATTAATACAGTTGCCTGGACCGAAACGCTGCTCGACCTCCGGTGCTCGACGCCCGGCGGAGCGCCACTTGTTGCCGCAAGCCTGACCATGAAAGTTCATGCACGCAATAATCTAAATAAACTCTCGAAAAAGGAGTTTTGTATAGGTGAGTATTCCAGAGGGTGCTAAAGGGGACATTAGGAGTTTAGGCATTTTTGACTACAACTCACGTGGTTTGAATGTGGCTTCAATTTCCTCATATCGTCATGCACAATGTGCGCGGAGAGATGGCTTCAGGTCAGTCGGCTAATGAATGTTGTGACCATGGTGTTGGTCCGAGACTGAACCCAAGTTTCAAACTCAGTGCGCGAGATAGCGTGGGGCTCCTGCGCAACATCTTGGCAAAACGGGCCGTGCCTGCTAAAGCGGAATCACGGGTATGCTCAAATCCTTCATGCACACCAAACACGACATGAATGATAGCCATGCAACGTCTCGCCTTCTGGTGGATGTGGTTGTAAGAAATGTACATATGTTGCATGAACACCTTTGGAGTCTCCTGTTAAGCAAACCCCGAGCTTGCTACGATACTTCCAAATGGCATAATTAGGGGTAAGTGCAAAAAGATATCCTTTCCCTCTAGCACCTTACATTCCCTGTTTGGAAACGCGGGGCTTGTGCTTTCCTTGCAGGTCGGGCGTGGAAGGCGCCGTGTATGGCTACGGCTTCTCCTATGTGTTTCGGCTCTCATTTTCCGCGAGTTCTCACATGAACTTCCCCCTTTGTTCTAGGAATCAATTCAGAATTCGACGAAATCAGGTGTATGTAACGGAACCATCTAGTCAAGAAACCCCGTTTGAGGGCCAAAACATTGACAAGGGTCTACCGGGTTTGGAAGCCAGGGTTTTCGGCCTGTGGTGCTGAACATTTTTTGTAGGAACGCGGGCGCTGCTTTCAGATTTTCCAGATTGAGCGTAGAGGTTTCAACCATTCGAAATATTGTCCATTTATAGCCATGGGAAAACTAACTTAAAGGCAAAATTCGTGTTGAGCCTCAACTTCACATCTCGCGAGCGTTCCCTGTACTTTACACCCCAAACTCGAAATCATAAATCCTTTAACCCCCTAAACCTTAAATCCTAACCACTGAGCCCTTTCCCAGGTGCACTTCCGGGGGCCAGCGCTGCATCACCCGTGCCTCGATGACCAGAAACCATCGTGACATTCCCTATCGGCTCCTAGGGTCTCGGGCTTGGCGTTTAGAAGTTAGGGTTGGGCTGTGTTGTGGTGATGTGGAGATAGACAGGGTTTAGTGTCTAGGAATGGAAAAGCAAATCCCAAAGAGCATGGAAAATGAAGTGGACACCGCTTCACAACTCAGGGTTCCCGAGCATGGAAAATGTACAGTGGAATCTGCAAAAAATTATCATCGAATTTCTGCACACGCTAAACACCTAAATCCGTAATCCTTAACCCTAAACTCCAAGCGAAATTGATGGCTTTAGGATAGCCTGCTGTAGGTTTTACAATCAAATTGTACTGGTAGACAAAACGAGAACCAAATGGGAAACCATGTGGAAAATGAAAACGAAGCTGGCTGTGTGTGTGTGGGATATATAGTTTATGGGGCTGGTTCAAATACTTTTATGAATGGAAAAGTCATTTGGGCAGAGGAAGGGAAGCTGGGAGTATATATAGCGCTTATATGAGCCATGTAGCGTTTCCGTTCTGGGGCTCCAGGCATAATGAATATCCCAAATCCTCAATCGCGTGGGGGTGGGGCTTCAATGGTACCATCCTAGGATTCTTTGCAGATTGTTGCTTGGGACGACAATAGTTTGACAGCCTTGGACGGGTGGGGTTGGTACACTTGCTCAAGAAAGGACCGGCTCAATAGAGGGACCAAGTAATTTGTAAGATTATATTCCCCCGTAAGTAGATAGAATATGGCTTTGGGTATATTAGAATAAGATCTCCATATACCCCATTTTCTATCTACTTAAGGAGGACTATACATAAGGCAGGACGGCTAAGCCCGTTAATTGGGTACCTCCCTATATCACGCGTACAGAAGCCTCATAATCCCTCCCCTAAACCCTAGAACCTAAACCCTAAACCCTAAACCTAGTATCGATAGTTATTTAGGCTACATCAAGCCAACCGTAGAGGATTAGGATCCTCTGGGTCAGCACCATCGAAGCTTGCATTTTAAGATATTGAAAGAAAATAGGGGGACCCCAATATGGACAAAGATCCTTATTATAGAAACCCCCAAAACTCGGTACCACTAATTTTGGGATGCCCCCGATAATAGCCACAACGGCGTGTTTCTGGTAGCCCCTTCCTCAACAGTAAGCAACGAAGCTTTGAAGCCACCTCTTAACATGCTTACCCGTACTTGGAGGGTCAGGGGGACATAGTCAGTAGGTTAATATTGAGGATACTTAGGGCTATTATCTGGGTTATAGGGATCATTAACCTACTTGCTAAGTCCCCGTGACCCTCCAAGTACCCCATACATCACGTTTGTCCTGGTGCGAACGATTTCCTTTGTAGATCATGGCTTAGACTCAAACACTCCCCGAACAGAGATGTACGTACCAAGATTCGTTTCAACCTTCTACAGGTATCCTGACACCAAGATGTGTGAGGACGCTCAGGGTTTGGTCATTTATTGGCTCGGCTTTCTTCACTCAAAGGGCCTAAACCCTAAACCCTAAACCCTAGTGGCAGCAATCAGCGATCTGTTATTGCGGTACCTTGCATTGGATGCACCTTCAGCCTCAAGAGCATTTGAGCTATAGTCTAAACTCCTTAAAGGGGGATATATAGGGGATTGTATAGGGTACTACTATAAGGGATATTAAGGGGGATACCAGGAGTTTAGACTATAGCTCATTTTGTTTCGGGCTCTTTGGAGCAACGTGTCTGGAGTCCACACGATTTACCTTACTGGTGCTTAAGGGAGAGTGAGGGATATTCACTCCCCCACTCCCCTTAAGCACCAGTAAGTTTAGGGCTTACGCTTCTGAATCGTGACGCCTCTTGGTGTTAGAGGATGATTACCAGGGGTTCGGGGTCAATCAGAAAACCCCCAACAACCTTGTGGCAAGCATTCCCAAAATAGTACATGCCAGTATATGTTCGGGGCTTGTTTTCTTTTGTGGCGATTTCTGGTTTCTATTTCTTTGGGTGTCCTGAGCTCTTGGCAATTCAGGTGGTGTAGCTACTTGAACTTGAAACTACTTGATTTGATACCCCTCAACGAGGACGTGAATTTCATGCTGCAGCTACGGGAAGCCTACGGCCAGCGAGTTGGCTTACACCGGGACCTGGAGGCACGGCTTCTATGCTGGCCGATGGCACCCAGAATTCTAGAGCCTGAGCCCCTAACATGCGGTGCTTTTCAAAGCAACCGTCCAGAATTCTCAGGAGGGACGCCTATGCAATCTGCTTACACTCCCGTCAGTTTGAATTCCCAGTATCCCCCTTAAGACGCCCTATAATACTCTGCTATATAATCCCCTATAATTGCCCCTTTCAGGAGTTCAGACTATAGCTCAAATAGGCTTTGCGGGCATTGGAATTCAGCCACTCCCCCGCTCTCCCTTTAACACCAGTATGTAAGCCTTGATTCGGTGTTCGCGTTTATCTTTCTGGGATGATTTGGTAGTTTCCCAAAATAAGGGGACCCCAAGATAGACCCCAAAATATTACTATCCCTAATAAGGGGACCCCCAAAATGGTACCCCTAATTTTGGGAAACCCCCATTTAAGCTTGCTAACGTCTCGTTGAGTTCCAAGATCCTTTAGGGATTCCGGGTTTGGGTGAGGTCCATGAGTGGCTATCACCGAGGTTGTGAATGGGATAGCAAGAAGTGATAGAGTGATATCCTTTTTTGCAGCATAGCCAGGGTGATTGTAACTCTGCCCCATGCTGGTACAGGAACCCTATTTGAAAGAGCCAGAGTGAAACGGCAGCCGGAAAATTGAGACCAAGTCACGAGGTCACGCAACTTCTGTGTTGCCTCCTGTTTCTAGCTTCAAAAATTCCATGCAGGTTGTTCGCTCTTGTGATGATACTTCATCCTCGCCTAGCTGTTTACATCACGTCGACTATTTGTTCGGTGCGCATGGTATTTATAACTACCTGTGGAACTCCAAAACACTAAGCCCTGTAAGCCCTGTTACTCCCGTATCCCTATACAACGTGTATATCTAGTCTATAACCCTAGTTTTTGTCAGTGGGTTCGAGGCTAGGGCAGCGGTTGGTTCGGCATTGTGTGTTGCGAATTTATCACACACAGGCAAAACCTACCTCTAAACCTCGAGCCCTAACGCCCGAAGTCCTACACCCTACCTACACCCCGAAGCCTAATACTTGACTGCTGCTTGGCGCTTAAACCTTGCTTGCATGGCAACCAAAACCTTGCAAATCGAATCTCTAAGCCCTACTTATCCCAAATCCTACAATACTAGAGTACTACAAGACTAGAATACTATAATACGATCATCCTAGACTAATATAATGCTAGAATAATTTATTGCTATAATGCTATAACAATATAATAATGCAAATATTAAAATACTATGATAATATAATGCTACAATACTATAAAACTATAATACTGTCAAGCTTTGGGAGGTTCCGAAAGAACCCCTAAACAAGCTCCAAAAGAGATTATCATTATTTTGCTATTATTATTATTAGCAGCAGCAGCAGTAGTAGTAGT